ATCTCAATCTTTGTATATCCAAAAAAAAATCAATTTATATTCAATACCTTAAAGAAAAAGAGTTGAGGAGATGAAAAAGACTTCATTAAACGAATGAAAGATTTTCTAAATTGAAAGTGATTTCTAAGGAAATTCAAATAAAGTGCATTTTGATAAATGACACATTATTATTTAGAAAAAGAAATCTGGATCTTTTCAAAGCATCAACAAAGGGAATTGAGAAGATCAAAGAAGAAGTAAAATGCTACAGACGGTTGTGCATTAGAAGGAGGAAATGCTCCAAGAAACGCATCGTTCAGTCAATGGAGCAGCATATCCATATCATAACACAATGACATATTAAATCATATTTTTTTTAATACCTTCCTTCGGACGCAGACTCAATTTATATTCATGAGCTCTTTCTTCATAAAACAAGCACACAAAATGTGAGCTGTTGTGCCGTGTATTTGGGACAATTATGATGTTCATAAAAAAAAGAGTAGAAAAGAAATTGGTAAGAAGAGAATGAATAAGAATTGGGAATATATGAGACACAGTGGAATAAATTTTAAGCTTGACGCTGTGTCTTTATGTGTTGGCGTTTTAAATAAGCCGATAAAATGCGTTGACACGTGAAAATCGATTCAACTTTGCTCACAGTACAGAAATTAGTGGAAAGAATGTAGACTAGGTTGGGGTTTAAAGCGCATTTGGTTTTGATGCTGAGCATAAGACATGTTAACATGATTTCCATTGTTTTATGAGGACTAAGGATGGCATGGTCCTCCTTAATGTTGACCATTAGACAAGAATGGTTGATATAGTGATAAAGTTAAGGTTAACAACTTAGTTTAAGACTCAGTATAATCAGTTTCTCAATTTTGCACACTTTTAGTACTTCAAGACCTTGTCATAAGTCTATATTTCTATGCTACGCTTCCAGCTTGTCCAAATCAAGTGAAGAATCACACAAAAAATAAATTCTTCAACATTCCAAGCTTAAAATTTCAAGAAAAACCAAGCAAAACTTAATATGCATCACCTCATTCAGCCAAACTGCCTCCATGCAACTTCACCATTCCAAATCTCCACAAAATAAAATAAAATAAAATAAATACTCAGCTCAACATGCTATAAATGACGACAACAAACAGAAGTCGATACATACATGACACGCTCATTGTTATTGTCTGTTACTGCTGCTGTACCTCAATTTTTTTTTAAATAAATGTCGTATTGTTGCCTGTCTCGACGTTCGTTGAAATAAAAATTTAAATAAGTAATGACATTTTGAGAATTGGAAGCTGAAAAAAGCAGGCATCAATCGTTGAATGATAATTAAAGTTATGTTTTACATGATTCACTTTTTTTTGCGCTTTAACAATAATTCTTCATAACCACTGGCACTCCTTTTCCGAAAAAATAAACTCGATTCTTTCTTTTTATTGCCATCAGTCGTCATCGTCGTTGTCTTATGACGACGTTCCAATGCTTCTCTTGAATCGCTTCAATGAATTTTTTCATAATAAAGAAATTATGAGAATATACATATAACCTTTGATGTCATATGAATGAGTGCCTTTAATCATCAATACTTGTTTCCTCCACCTTTTTTGAGCAGTAATAAAAATACAAATTACATTTCTATGCTTGAATGGATATTCGCTACAAATTTCTTGACTCCTTAATTAGGTCATATCGAATAATAATAGCAACAGTAATAACTTTTTTTTTCTGCAAACAATAGCATTCATCCGTAATAAGTAAGGATGATTATGGGAGTAGGCGTTTCCAATGCGCATGTTAAAGTAGACATTTTTTTTTTGCAATAAATTGTATGATATGGAAGTGTATCTAATATGATGAGGCAGAAAATTAAGACAAGATGATTATTTGCCTTTGTTGTTGACTTCTTGAGTGGATTATGACGATGTCTGAAAGTAATGTTGGAAGTATTGTGCGATGTGCTTGTTATAGTAATGGTATACTTTGTCATAGCTACATGAAGGGATTATATACCTATTACTTACTTCTTACAGATCAATTGTGATCCATGGTTTCTCTTAGATCTAATGCTATCGCTGATTGTCAATTACTAATCCAAATTCACTACTGTTACTGTCAATAGTTTTCTTCTAAGAGTTCTTAGGGCGTCCTAATGATGCGTTTTGTGTTGCTCTAAATGAAATGTTTGTAAAATTAGCTTCTTGTGGGGATCGAACACACATCTTCTTTAAAAAGGCGGTTCGAGATCAGAAGGCTGCAAGGTCGCATTAAGTTTAATCTTGATATGGCAGATTTGCCTATATTTGGCTCTGCAAAGCTAATCTGTAGCCTAAAACATAGCCAGGTCAGACGTTTTACAGTCAAACCCTCTTCCGCCCCAAAAATGTTTTCAATTTGCTTAAAAAATCAAATTACACAGCACATCTTAAAAATTTCTAGGTACAACCCTGATTTTCTTTTTTTTATAAATCGAGACCATTTTTGAGGCTTCTATGGTGCAAGGGTCTTATGCCTGACTATGAATTATAAACCAAGATAACGTCCCGAAGGAATATGCAACAATGACTTTCTCATAAAGATGGAAAAAAGATGAAATAAGTTCCTAAGACTTCTATTTACATCAACCCATATCATCCACATCCCAAACTGAATCCCCCATAATCCGATCGAATCCTCAAAACAGAAAAACTGTGCTAAAAAGAGATCATTATTATTGCATCACTTGAAAGCAAATCTCCGTTCAGTTAGTTGCAAACGAATAATATTGTAATAATAAATGAATCATATTGTTAGACATGCCACACAAAACGTAGAGGAGAAAAAAAAAAGAAAACTGAAATTTATGAGAAATGGAAACATTAAAAAAATCTATTTATGTTGTACATCAAAAAAAGGCGATCACAAATAAATCTTTTGAACTGCTTACATTATACTTTGTAGTTTCATCAGTGCAATGTTTATGCTTAAGCATGCTCTGTACTCCTCTCATCTTATTCTTTCGGTACCCTATTGTTATGTATTGAATCTCCATTGATTTATTCAACAACAGTTTGCGGTTCACATTAAAGCACCATCATTACATTTCATTACAACTCTCGCCTTGCTCTGGCTCTTCTTTTCTTTTTCTCATCACACACTCTAGTTTACTTCTCGGTGTTATGTTTTGTAGTTTATCCGGTTGAGACGATAATCTTCCATTTACATCACGACATAACGCGCGTTTTTTGGCCTTGCTACATTATTATCGTGTTGATGTCTAGTTTCAATAATGCTCTGCTCCACAATATATACATTTCAAGACTTCGTATAAGGAGAAAAATATCGTGAAGATAATTATGACAATAGTCAATATGAATTAAGATATCAGATGAGTTTTTTTTTTTAATTTTAAAATTTCTATGGGAAAGGTTTTAGGGGTCGTTCATAAATGATGACTAATTTTTTTTGGGAGGGTCTAGTGTTGTTTGACAATTCCATACGCAGAGTTGTGAAGGGATTTAAAAATCCAATTCTTAAATCGACATCATTTATGACGAACCCCTCAATATTTTGGACTTAAAAATCATTTTAACACGTTTAAAATTCATATTTTGTTATCTTATCTCGTGAATATTAATTATTATTGAAATTTATTGAAATTGATTTGTGAAAATTAGCAGAAAATTTGTTAAAATATTTACAAAAAATATTAAATTACAGATAAGTATGTTAATCTATCGTTTCGCAGCTGGATATGCTTCGACAAAATCTAAATTGATATGTTAAATTTTTTTAAATATTTTTGCTTGCCATGTTTGAAGTAGAAAATCTCCGGTTGATAAGTTTAAATTTATTGGATTGTCTAAATTGTTTATTGAGAAATTCAATTTAATTTTTTTTCTTTAGTAAGCAAAAATTGATATGGCGTGGATCATTGAACCTTAAAAAATTTAAAGTAAGCAAACATGATGATGTAAATTACCAGTGATTCGACCGTTACTATAAATTATAAGCCATAATTCACGATCCTATTACAGATCACTGTAAATTTCTCTTGACTCTATGTAAATCTTAAGCACATGACTTAAAACTCGAGTGGTGAATTGCTGAGGTAGCTCCATGTAATATAGATTACCAAAAAACTGAGCATATGTTGACTAGTGTACTGGTGGGCTAAAGTTTCAGTGGGCAAAAGTACCAGTAGGAAATATCAGTGCGAATATGTAAAGTGGACAAAAGTCAGTGGTCAAATGTACCAAACCCGCCCATGACCGTTGTTGGCCATATTAAAGTTTGTCATTTAGCATAGTATGAGAAGCTCTGGGCATCATTGTTACAACAGCTCTAAGTCGATCCGAATTTCGTATTAAATCGAACTTATTTTTTCATGAAAAATTTGCTGAAAACTGAGTCAAGTTTAAGGTTCCACAGCGGCAACTGTTTAATTTACTAGTCACTCATGCTCGGGTTTCACGAATCAGAACAGTAATCTTCCCAAAAATGATAAACTTTTCTATAAATAAACAAACAGTTGTAATTAGACTAAACTTACCCAAATCATTCTAATTCATAATCTTTCAAAGCAAGCCGAAAAGATTTAGGCACCATCCACATGCTTTTTAAATAAATTTCAAACCAACAAAATTTTTAAATCCAAGACTAATTTTCAAAATCCAAATACGTCTAGAAAATCTCATTAAATTAACGTATCCATAAATTCAACAGTTAAATTCGAAAATAATAACATAATTAAACTCACAATCTCATCATTTCTATCCATATAAAGCTGATTCAACAGTCATTGTCCGTATAACAAACAAATTCATAATGTCATGGATTTTCTGTTTGGTCATTGCTACATACTCGATGGACGTGACAAATTTTAAAATAGGTATAAGAAAAAAATTATAAATGACAGTTATTGGATTTGATGGAAGCTAGTTAATTATTCTTGATACGTGGCTACTTTAACACTTGATCCATACGTTAAGTCCATGCTATAAATCTACTTAGAATAGTAAATGTGGAGGACAATGGAGGTAGATGCACGAAGTGACCTACTTATCATCATTAGAATTATTATGTCGTCCAGCGAACTTGATTGAATGTGAAGAACTCGTGAGGCTCTTAATAGCAGAGGTGTAGCTGGTTGAGGGTAGCTATTCTGGATGTCACGAGAAGCTAAAGTAGATAATTTAATATGGAAGGAGACCCAGAGCTTTAATACCTCTGCTGTAATTTATTGCTGAACGTAGAAGCAACAGGATAATTTAAACTTGCTTTGATCTCAGATTCGTGCTACTTTCAATAACAAATATCAATCTAATTTGACAGATCAATCAAATAAACCTATCAAATTATGTCCATCAACCTACCCGCTTATTTATTTTTATTACAAATCAACATTATTGCTCGGCATATGCCACAGCTAATAAATAAATAAATCCACAGTAATTATAAATTTTTAATGCTCCAAAACTGAGCCAATTTAGTTTAATAAATCATCAATTTTCTTCGATTTTATTTCCAATTTTCTTCGTCTCGATTTCTTTTCATCTTTTCTCTTATTTCAACAAAACAAAATCATCTAATGCCATTTAAGGCAATCTCTGGTGGTTTATAAAAAAAAATCTCATTACTTTCAATTGCTTTTATACAATCTTAATAATGATGTTTGCCAATCTGGACGATTTAAAAGAATTTTTTTCTAGAAAAATAAAAATGTAAAAAAGGAACGGTGATGGTAAACAAGCATACAGACATAGAAATGCAAACTCGTAAAACGAGGGAAAGGAATTTAAAGTATTAAAAGCAATAAAAAGGAAATCTTGAGAATTTAAGTTGGAATTTTTGAGAACTAATGAGTGGATTTGAAGTTGCTTTATGTCTGGTTGTTCACTGGACCCAGTTTCTTATCAATGAGCTTACTGAAGAATGCATTTCATGAAAATTCGTCTTATTTGACACAGAATCTATATAACCCGTATAGCACGAGTCGGTTAATTGAATAGAAATCGTGCATTACTCTGGCTGGACTCAAATCGAATCCAGGACCATGTCAGAGTCACGCCAGATTTCTATTCGATTAACCGACTTGTGCTATTAATGATCATGAGTAGCTTGTCTCATAAGAAGCTTCATCCAATCTCTTTACATGTCAATCAGAATAACTAATGACAAACCATCACTAAAATGCACCTTTTCAATCCCTTTTCTAATGACAATTTCTTACTCAATCGTTCTCAATTCAACTCGTAATCTTCAATAGTTATTAGATAAATGATGTTAGAAAACTGAGAAGAAAAGGATATTGCATTTTATTCAGCATCTATGTCTGTATAAATTCACTTCAATCCTAAAGTGCTCTTCAAAGCGAAAGAAATAAGAAGAGAGAAGAGATTCTCGATTGGTAAATAGTAAATACACACAAAATGTACACATCACTATGATGATATTGAGATTACAAAGAAAAAGAGGAATTCACTTGCAATTGTTATATCCGAAAAGAGAAATACAAATAATAAGAAGAAGCATTTTTTTATATTTACTATTCTTTCCTTTACAGACTGAGCTATCACATAATCTTCAACAGTTATCAGAGAAAGCCCGATCAACTACGGAGTTTATTCATCGACTAAAAGGAATGAGCGACAAAGTGACGGTAAGTGCCTTTTGTACTTTAAAATTCTTTGAAGCTTTTGTAGTTCTTTTGTTAAATTATTTGTGAAAAGAGTAAGACTTGGCTTGTACAAAATGGAATAACTTGATGCTGGTGCTTTAAAAAATCTGCAGTTTCTAGCAAATTAAGGCTCACTCAGAGTTTCAATACAATCCTAGCTTCATGTAATCCAAGAACATCACAGAAATCCTTCAAATAGAAAATTGATTAAATCAACATCATCATCGTTGTAAATAATTAAACTTCTCTCCATACAGCATGCCATATTTCCACAGTCAGTCTTCATTCTGGCATAAAAAGGCTTTAACTAAGAATAAATGAGTGAAAAGTTTGTTCACAACTATTGAATAAGGAAAACTTTTTCATACTCTATTCAAGTCGAATGTTAAGCCAATTTTCCATCGACATAACAAGTTTGATTAATTTCTCGTTCCCTCCATCCACACACTTCACTTACTGCTTCCTTTTTGCGGAACAAAAGGAACAAAAAATACTAAGAATAAGTTTAGTTTGAGAGCATTCGACAAATGTTTTGAAAGTGAAGTGAATTGCAATTTAATAAGCATTTTCTTACATCCTCCCAACCAGCACAAGAAAGTCAAACTTTTCCTCAAACTTGTGCATAATAATTGGGAAAAAAAATTCATCCTGTTACTAATAGAAAGCGCCAACAATCGAGCAATAACTGAGTTTTTTTTTTGCATTTTTATTCGCTATGCACAAATATGATGCCAGCTACTTTTTGTTGTAATCATAAAAAGCAGGCTGCAAAGTTTGCCTTTTCGCAAAACTCATTGAAGCATGACGCGCAAGGAGCAAAAAAGGCAGTGCTATAAAGTGAAAATTAATTTTAATCAAGAAATGTGTTTATATTTTTCGTTACAGGAGTCATGCATAGAGTTTGAGCGACTTGTAAGTGCCCAATGTGAATCATTAATACAAATGATTCATGAGCGGAGGGAATTTCTATTAGACACTATACGAATTGATAAGGAAACAAAAATAAGGACGTTAAAGGTAAGAAATGAAATAAATTTAATTTGAATTGGAAATGATTTGAAAAATGAAGGGTTGAAAAATGTTTTGAGTAATGTTGAATGTTGAGATATTGAATGACCTAAAAATAGTGTTGCTGACTCAGATGTCTGGTTGAGATTTAGAATGTCTTTTTAATGTCTAATTCAAGCGATCTGATCAAATCTCTCAAAATAAATTGAAAATGTAATGTCTGAAGATTATGGAGCATTGACATTCAGAATAGCCGAAGCTTTAACATATCTTGGTACTCAAATATTTGTATTTAGGTTTCTTTATGTATGGAGCCCATTTCTTGAGTGTTTGACAAAGGCATCTCTGAGATATCCCTTATAACCCAGATCTTTGCTGGTTTTGGATCACAAATTGTGATTTTGCCAGAAAAACATACATCAAAAATCAGCCTGACTCAAAAATCAGAGTAAAAGTCAAACAACGTCTCAATCAAACGTGCCTAACTTTACAAATTAAATTACATCATCAAGAAAACTTCCTTAAAAATCTCAATGCACAACTCGATGCAACTAAAACTCGTGTTCCTTCAACCCTGAAATGTCAACAATTCCTAATTAATACAAATTGTTTAAAACTTTATATTTTCATTCTCTTAATTCTCATTCCACAGGAGCAGCAGCTAAATTGTACAGGAAAACTTCAGCAAACAAATGGACTCATACAATTCTGTATTGAGGCACTAAAAGAGACAGATAGTGCGGCATTTCTTCAAGTAAGTTATAAATTTCAAAAAAAGAGATTGGATATAAATTTTTCAGGAAGAGCAATAAGCTTATGAGATCAGATACGAGCAAATATTGAAGATATAAATTTTAAGATGCCTTTTTCCATAAATTTTCTCGTCTTTTTCAAATTTCCCAAAGGCAATCTTCAGCTTAAGAAAAGGATAACTAAAAAAAATGCTTTTTACGATATTAGTTCCGATACATTCCACAGAAAAAAGAAAACTTTAACATTAATTTATTTAGGTCGAATCAGAAAATGTCTCTCTAAAGCGCCATTGAGAGGATTACGATTGATTTACAAATTTTTATTTCTTTGCCTTTCTTTTTGTTTCGTTATCAGGCATATTACATCCATTAACAAAATTTGCTATTGATATTATTATGTCCCACAACTAAATACTCACTATAAGCTGTAAAAACCATTAAAATCCCATATATAAGCGACATGTTACAACATATTTTTCTTTCTATTCTTTTCGTTTCTTTTCATCCTTTGCGATAATTTTCTTTTTTTGCTGCTAATTTGTTGTGTGATTTGCGTTTAGATGGTTGAAAAAATGTCGCATTATGGGTCAGGCTGTAAGCTTTTTAGTGACAATTTTGAGGTTAAATAATTATTTGGGTGTTCAAAAGTAAGTTCTAGGCAAACACATGACTCAAATTAGTCAGTCACTAACCAAACTTGCTAGACTCTAGTCAAACTAGTTAACGTTTAGTCAAACTAGTCAAAAACCAGTTAAACTAGATCATAGAAGTGAAGGAGTCAAAACAAACTAGTGAAAAAGTCAAACATATTATATTGTGTTGCCAAAGAACCGACTTCAGATCCATAATTGTGCTAAGGCATTGTACAAAAGCCTCTTATAGCTTATGATAGTTTGAAGAGTGATTCATTGATGAGTGATTGAAATCACAAGACTCAAACCTACAATTATAGCTTGAAATAGAACCCTAGGCCTAGTTTTTTGATGAATTTCAATCTGTAGCTTTTAAAGAAAGCTGTGAGCTTCATATTTGATGCATATAATGCCATTGGGTAGACATATAACTGCTTGAATGCTATGATGTGTGTTTTTGAAGCAATGATTACGATTTAAAGTTCTAACCTACTTCACTATAGACCCTCCAAACCACATCTTAAATATATTCAGTTAAAGTTGTAATTAATTAAACCCTTAAAGGCATTTGTAGTACTAATCATCAAAATTTGCATGTAAATTCACACAAAGGCCACAAAAGTTCATCACATGTAATCTAGAAATGCGCCCAAAACGCTCCAAATTCACTGACATTTTCAATTATCGCCTGTAAGTATTTTGTACCGAAAAAAAAGCAAAAGTAAAAACGAAACGAAAATGAGAAAGAATGAATTTGCTTGTTATCAAGGATCTCAGAATTATATGGCAAAAAAAAATAAAATAAACCAGCCAGCAAGAAATGTATTAATGTCACGACACACATGGGCTTTTTACACAAATTTTTTTGTGCGCTCGTGAATTCTTTCCTCCATCCTCACATTATTATTTTGTTTTCGTTGCGGTCCCATAAGACGATTATACGAATGAATATTTTTTATGTGTACAAGCATATAATAATTTTTTTTTCATTAACATAAATGTGTCTGTGCTCGACTTTAACTCGTGGGCCTTTTAAAATGCTCTCTGTAGCTAATTAATTCAACACAAAAAAAAATATAAACAATATTTTTATTCTCTTTTTTTCTTCTTCTCTCTGTGATTATGTTATCGCTGATTACAGGTAGGGTCAATGCTTATAAATCGTGTAGCCAACACGGACATGACGTGGCATCAAGAAGTAACGAATGCAGCACCAAGAGTGTCACCCATTGTGGATTTAACGCTGGATGACTCTCATGTTATTCGAGCTATTGATAATCTCAACTTTATTCAAATGAAACGTAAGTTTTAGTCGCACGAATAGTCAACAGTCTATCCCAAGGGAATGAGGGAAATTTGCATTATGGAAGTTGATTTTGGATGGGTTGGGAAGATTTATTAGAAATTCTAGAAAATTCATTAAATTGTGAAATTTTCATATTTTTTGGAATATTTTAAATTTTGTGATTTCTAGGATTTTTAAAAAAGAAATTGTTGGAAGTTGATTGCTTGGTATGTCTTGTTGTATAGCATTTGGTATGACTTATTAAATATACTAGCGTTTATGGCTCAGGATGACCAGGTTGTGATTCTAGTGAATGCTAAGAATAATCAATTGTAAAGTCAACAGAACAACTTATCTTGAAAGCACAAGACGGTCAATCGATCAGAAATCTGAAGCCAAACTGACATATCTTGGGCATAGAGCTCGTTCGATTTATATGAAATCTAGCTTCATGCCAGAGCACCACTGGCTTGGCGTCAGATTTCTGATCGATTAACCGACTTGTACTTCCCGGGTTAGTATATGTTCTAAGATAAAGTTTAGAAAATATCAAAGAATGGGTCTGGGGATGGGATTTGCTTGATTTCTTCTAGTCCATACCCTAAAATATACAAAGATACTCTTAGCTAGTCTCAATAAACTTTGAAAAATACAAGAACATGCAATAAGGGTAGTGCATACCCTAGACTACACACCAGGACTACACCAAGCAATCAGCTTTCCATAAATCTATCTAAAATCACTTTCAACAAAGCTTCCATCCCTTGGTACCTTCAAAATTATTATTTCTTCCTATGCCTACCTTCTAGCTTTTTTTTCTAAGACAAGTTTTTTGTTTTTCTGTTTTTTTTCATTTCATTTTTATATAGTTTCATTAAGTTTATTTTCGAATCGTTCTTTGAGTTATCTATTTCCATCAAAATTATGCGCATTTAATTAAAACTATTAATATTATTATGTTATAATTTACATACCATTGATGTTAATCTCCAACAAAATGTTTTCATGATGATTTGACAATGTATTTCATGCTCTGTATATTAAATAATTTTTTGACCCTGAAATATATAATTTTTCTTCATAATTTCCTCATTTAAATTATTTTAATTTATGTTGCGAATCATAAATTTTTTATGCTTAAATTTTTTTGCGATGCGAAATATTTTCATATTTATGAATATTTAAATAAATTCGACTGTAATAAAGTACACACAAAAAAAAGTAAAGAAAAAAAAATATTCCGTGTATTTCATGCAGCTGCTAAAGAAGGCGAGGAAAGAATACCACAAGGTGAGCAATTGAATCATACATAACAACCCGAATCATAATTCATAGAAACATGTCAAAGGAAAATAAATAAATATATATAAATGAAATTAAGTGATTCAAAATCAATAAAATATTTGTACAATATTTCAACATTGATTTGTTATTATTCATCATACAGAAAGTATAATGCATGCACATATAGATGCGTACATGGATCAATAGACATTAAACATAAACCAAAATTTATTTACCATTTATTTATTTATTTGCGTTCAAACTTTTTTTTGAAAATGAAAGGAAAGAAAAAATTTGTTTTATTCGTTAAACATCAAAAAATGTTAATGTCAAAAGAAGGGTTGAATAAACCATTAATAAAATTTATAGAAGCGCATTTTCCCCATAAATCATGATGTTAATAACTCAAATATTGATTCTTTTGAAATCGATATAGTAATTTAAAATTTTACTATGATATATAAACGAACTTGTAAGGGGGTTCATTGGCTAATGATGTTCAGCTTCTAAGAGGAATAGGGTTCTTTAGTCTTTTAGACTAACCCAGACTCGGGGCAGAGATAAAAATGTTTAAAAGAAGTTTCATTGGTTTCATATTACACTTCTTCTGATTCAGACTATCTGTCTTCCAATGAAGTTTAGAGTTCACTAAAGCAGTGGTGAGCAATCTTTATTTTGCCACGGTACAACTTAGTGGTAAGCCATGATCAAGCCTCACACGGTTTGTGGGTTATCATAAATGTTTTCACGTCACATAGGTTGACCATTGCTGTGTTAGAGACACAGACCTTAGTGTCCTATGTAAAGTCTCTTGTTTTGCTTACTAAAAGTGATCCCAGAGGCATAGCCTGAGGGCTGTGGGTCAAAAATCCCCATTTTTGGATAATAGTTCTTCAATTTGTTAAGTTTTTTTGAGAAAAAGATCCAAAAACCCCCACCCTGAATATTTTTGTCCATACAAAAAATTTCTTGCAACGCCCCTGCATGATACGGTCCATGCGAACATGCTCTTTGTCTTTGAAAGCCTCTATATTGATCACTTTTTTGCAGATGCCTCTTTTTCGAATAGCACAAGTCGGTTAATTGATCAGAAATCTGGAACCAAGCCGGGTTGAAACTGGCGTAAGTGCTGAATTTGAATCGAAGGCAGCAACCTAGAGTCATGATTGAAGAGTCATTGGTGCCGGATTTTTATTCAATTAACCGACTTGTGTCATTCGGAATTTCCTCATAACTTTTGAACATCATTAGCAAATGAACCCCCTTTATTCAAAATTTATTTACCTGTAAACTGTCAAAAATCAATATTGTTAATGTATCTGGACATGTTGATGCTTTCCTCATTCTAAAATCTCTGTTTTCTGATTTAAACTATTCTTAGCTATCATATTTAATGTAAACTGATGGATGAGATCCCCCAACCCAGTACCGTACATTAAATAACTTTTAACTCCTCTTCCACTCGTCCATTCAGTCAGCCAAAAGAAAAATCTTAAGCGCATTACATCCATTAAAAATATTTTTAATTCCAATCCATTTTTCCTGTGCATTAACATTAAATTTAATAGTATAAACACATATAAATGAATGAAAAAAAAATCCCCAAATATGGCTATTTAAAAATCAAATAACACACATAAAAATCTGTGTTGCGGTAAAAGCGATTTAATTCAATTTTTGAGTTAAATTGAAATAAATTCTATTTTTTACGGCCAGTTTTCATGGAAACAAACAAAAATACAGAACTGAATAAAATTATAGGGAAAAGAAAAATTATGTTTATTTGAATGATTTTTATCTTTCTCCGCATTTTCATTTTCATTTAATGTCTTTTCTTCTCTTTTTTTTTCTATTTCTTTTTATCTTTGTGAATAGTTCCATTGGCACCACAAATAATTCCGGAAGATTGTTCAGCTGAGAATAATTCGGTGACCGTTGCATGGTTACAACCTAATCACTCTTTTATACAAGGCTATGTACTCGAGCTGGATGACGGAAGTGGGGGTGAATTTAGGGTAAGCATCGCCTTTTATTATGCATTGAATGATTTATGAGAACGGTTCTCTCGACAGTCGTCGCTACACTCTTTTTTTGTGTGTGTATTTATTATTTTATCATTCTATTCTGAATAATGAAAGCAGGAAGAAGATGAAAAAAAAAACTTTAATTCTTCTCTCTTTTTTTGCTGCTCAACATGAGAAGCAGATGATTATGAAGATGATTTAATGCATATGGAATAAAGAATAAGAAGAATTGTGAATAGAAGGAAGGTCAGCAAAAAAAAATTGGGTGACATCAGGAAGTGGTTCTTTGAATGGAATTTGTGTTAAAGATTGTAGATTTTTTTACTGTTCTTGGTGTTGTCGTGGCCTTTTCTACAACATTGGTGTTTAAGCTTATAAAAAACCTTTACCTATTCAGATCAATTGTGATCCAGAGGTGCGCTAGGGCGTTTCGCAGCTAATGAGAGTTTGACGAGCGACGATGCGTGAAACCACTGCACTCAAACCTTTGCCTACAATTTAAAGTGAGATCCAAACCATTCCTTTGCTAACATTTCTGCCTGTAGCCTACAAAGAAAGGCTGTGAGCCTCATTTCCAGTACAAATGATTCGAAAAAGAACAAGTGAAAAATTTCTCATACCCAGTCTCGAGCCCATGATCGCTGTGTCGGTATTGCAATAATTAGGTACCGAAGCACTAAACTATTCCGCCACCGAGCCACTTCAGCTCACTTAAGCTTAAGCTTATACTATCTAATGTAAATGCCTCTTTCAAAAGAGACATGACACCTTACTGTGCTGCAACAATCGTTTATTTTTAATACTTATGAGCTGAGCAACAAAGCAGCCATTAAGGTGTACTGTAGCTTAAAAAGTTGCTCAGAAAGTGAGAGTTTTGCATCCTTTTGGATTATTCCAAAAGCCACATACCCGTAATCATTTATTTCAGTCGAAAAACTGACTCATAGGTGTGTCACAGAACATAGGTTGGTCATTTCTGGTCAAACAAAACCTTTCAAAATGAACTAAAACTTTCTTCAATTTCAAAAAAACGTCAATACCTTCCATCTCTATAAAAATTCCAAAATAATCATTCCCTCATAAAATCGAGTGCACCAAAGAACATGAAAGACATTTAAAGAACAGAATACAATGCTTAATTCACATAATTTATTTTCAAATCACGTGTGGGCGCTTATAACATTATAAAAAGGAGTGCAAGTTGAGTTCATTTACAGCAGGAAAGGACATTAATACGTTTATTAATAGACGTATTAGGGAAAAAGAACTCATTCAGGAATTTTATGGATTTTTACTTTACTAGAATTTCCACTTATACATTCGTATTGAGTAAATTTTAATTTAATATTCAGCATCATATTTATTATGAAGTTCATGTTGTGAATACAGTGGAGTCTGCATGACTTTAATTCTGTGATATTTACACGTTTATTGCATTTCGTTGTACTGAATGTTAAATAATAGCAAGTGCATTGGATTTATTGACATAGTTATTTATGGAAATTTTTGTTCTGATTGACTTAAAGGTCTCACAATTGTATTGAAAATGCTGGAATTTTTATTAAATATTCGAAATTGAAATTTTTAAGCGCTTGCTGTTCAATTAATTTCTCAAAACTGCACAACACTCAATGCAGTCAAAGCAATAACATAATCGAATTTCTCACACGTTAGTGAACATTTTCTTTGACAATATCGCGTCATGAATATATCAGTACAGCATATGCTGTCAACATACTTCAAACATATCGTTTCACAAAGGTTCCACTGTGAAATTTTAGCATCAAATAAACCTCTTTGGTTCTTCAGCAACAAAATAGACTCTTCAGGGGCGTCGTCAGGGGAATTGGAGTCGAAACTACACTTCATATTTCATAAATTAAGTCCAAGCGCTGCTATACAATGCTAAAAAATTCAAAGCAACGCATCAAAATTCTTTAAGGAATAAAGCAACACTTTAAAGTTAATTTGTATAAATCAAAGCAATACTTTAGAATTCTTCAATTATCAAAGTAACGCTTCAAAACTCTTCAAGGAACAAAGCAGCGCTTCAAAGTTAATTTGTAAAAGTCAAAGCGATGCTTCAAAAATTCTTCGATGATCAGAGCAACGCTTCAAAAAAATCTAAACTCAAAGCAACACTTCAAAGTTTTTTTGTAAGCATCAAAGCAATGCTTTAAAAATTCGTCAAAAACAAATCAACGCTCCACAATTCTTCAAAGAACAAAGCAGCACTTCAAAATTCTTTTAGAACCATAACACTCCCTCCCTCCTTAATCACGAAAATTCCTGACTACACAACTGAACCTCTCTTACGAGCATATAAATTTAAAATGATTTGATGTAATATCCGTAAATACTCATTAATTTTTCATTAAAGTTTAATGAAATATATATTACCACATTAATGCTCAAACGAATTATTTCTCGTCATTTTTTCATCCCCTTTATATATGAAAATCTTTTTTAGAAAAAAAAATTCAATTTTTCCTATACGTCGGTGCTTCACTTTATCGTCTACTAATTTTTCCCATAATCATTTTTGATTTTCATCTCTCTACCTCTCATGTATGCCTGTATGATTTGCTTTTGTCAATTACCGATAACATTTCCACTCGATAATGCAATGATGAAAAAAAATTCTGTATGCTATAAGTACGTCTGTATCATAGGAAACATTTTGAGCCTATAAATAGGAATTTCGCACACAGAAAATATATTATTTGGAATTTAAATGGCAAAGACTTGATTTGGAACGCATTTTTTGCTGTTATGTAATTTTTAAAGGATGATGTTACTCGATAAAGATTTTATTAAGGTTTAAAGCTAGCTGATTGGAGTTTTCGGAACTCAAGGGAGATAGTCTTATTCAGGGCTGAAGTACGAAATTTTTCGATGAATCCAGATGAGGATTTTGAAACCAAACAGACCCTTACTCCTTATCCTTATGAGACTTCCATGTCTAACAAGTGTCTGAGAGTCGGTTGCATAAAATAAAGGAAGGCATCCTGGACCATTTCTATTCAGACGCTGTTAATTCTTTCTACGCTACTTTAATAAGTAACTGAGTGCATAAAAGGATAAAGAATTTCAAACAAAAGAAACAAACGACCTTAAACAAGTGCAGCAAAGGACTTACAAGTGCTCATACATTTAAGATTTGACGCCGAGCACCTACAACCGTTACAATACCACTCAGTGAAACATGAAGCTTCAATCTCTTAGTAGCTTTAAGTCGTTCTTTAAAAAAATTATAACTCAATCATAAAAAGTCAAGAGCGCCAACATAAACAACTGACATAAAGGACAAACAGTAAAAGCATATCATAAAAACCAGCCATCACTTTCATAAAAACGTGCTTTAAACTGAGAGAGAAAAAATAAAATTTCCCAATGAATATTTTGCATGATTATGTATTGGAATGGGACGAAGCGGAACATATTAAATTGTGTATCATTAAAGGACCCCATGGCCAAAATAATTATATATAAATAACCTCGAGGAGAAATTTTCATCGTCATCTCATTGCATCCATTAAAGTATTTTCCCAATCCACCCTCTATTAGCATCGAACAATGTCTGTGTATGTTGTATGTTTCAGGCGATGGTTAAAGCGCTTTGACCGAAAGTAAAACATCAAAAACATGTTCAAAAAAATTTCCAGGCTTTAAGCTAAATGAAATAAGAATGTATAGCAAAAAAAAGGGGGAATGAATGAATGAATGAATGGATGAATGGATTGAGGATACAAAAGGGGAGAGAAAAGAGGAAAAAATAAAAATCGTAAACACGTGAAAATACAAATATTATGAAAGCACATTGACTTCAAAAGGAACGACGAATGAGAGAGAACCGCATCACGTACTATTCCCTATGATTTTTTTTACACATTAAATTTATTTTGATAGTCGTCATACATAAGTGACTGACTGGATGATAAAGAAGAAAATTTTTTGACACACCCAAAAGCGAGCGAGCCTTAATGGAATTTATCATTTAATTAACAAACTTTCTCTCCTTTATATATTTTTACAGGAAGTTTATTGTGGCAAAGAGACGATCTGTACGGTTGATGGGTTGCATTTTAATTCTATGTATAATGCACGTGTAAAGGCATTCAATACGAGTGGAGAGGGTGAATATTCTGATATAATTGGATTACAAACAGCCGAAGGTAAGTAAAAAAAGATAAAATATTTTTTTGTCTAATTAAATTCTTAAAGTTTATCAACTTCTGCTGTATATGTGTTGCTGTTTGGGACGAGACAGACGCTGAGAGAGACAGGAAAAATGTTATTTTTGCTTCCTATCTTGTTAGTAAACTTGAAAATTGAAAATGAAATTTAATGATCTTGGAAATGATATGACGGCAAACAACGCATTCACTTCCTTTGAAATTTAAATACCTTGAAGGAATTTATTTTTGAGAGTTAAGGATCAGAAATGTAAACAGTAATTATAATTTTGAATGACATTTGATGTTGGTTGGATGTTTGGGAGTGCAAAAATTGTCATTATAGACTAGTGTCTTCGAGCTTTGGTTTTCAGTTATTGTAACTTCGAAACATCAAGTCATGGGTTCGAAACTTATCAGGGGGAAAAGAATTTTTTGAAGCAAATGTTTTGAAATCGTTAGCTTCAGTCCTACTTGTTGAAGTACAGACTAATATGCCAATGAAGGAATGGTTCTTGTCTCACAAAAAATTTAACGTCTAGACTTGAGTCAGGAGTGTCGAAATAGTCAAAAATGATCCAATCGCCTCATGCTTAGCTTTATTACACCCCCGACCATTGCAAAGCATTACCAGACCTATGGAAGCATTTAAGAATGTGTTGCACAGTAATACAATAGTTCAATGGGAGTATCTAGTGAGGGAGAAGTGTACTGCCAGGTCATAAAAAAAAATCCTTGACTTCTGAACACACCTTAAATGCACTCATGACACCTTCACTCTTATAATCTATCAAACAGCAGTCTGACAATCTGATAATGCATATCTCACCATTTCCCATAAAAAAATCTCAACTTCTGTATATTAAAAAAAAGTATGCAGGATGATGATGATGTATATTTCATATGCACATCCATTACTATGAGGGTAAATTTGATGACGATAATAACGTCGGTGAAAAAAAAAATCTTGTACTTACAATTTATTTCACTGTGATTTCATTATACTTAGTTACTCATGAAATGTAATGCTCTGTGAAAATGTAAGCTAAATTTGATTTGTGAAGAACTCAACACAAAAATAAAACTTTTTCTATTCACATCAAAAAATCGACATCGCATGTAAATACCTCGAGCGAATTTCATAGGATCATGGTGTGGGGATTTAAATGCAAGAAGGAAAAAATAAAAATCTGTAGGAAGTAAGCAGGAATTAAGGGAGAGAAAATTTTTATAACAACATTTTTTAATATCAATAAAAAATGCTTTCAATTTTTTTAAATACATTCAAGGAATGGAGACTCAGTTGATTGGAAATAAAGGAGATGTAGAGAGATGAAAGATGTTTGTGGGATTAAAGCAAGAAAGTTATTTTTATTTTTACAAGAATTTGATTGAATTAAATCAATTTACTGAGGAATTTTCGTACAAATCTGTTGTGTTTATCGGTGATATTAAATTTAATGGAATTGCCAATTTTAGATTTGATGGATCATTGTTTGATGATTTTTTCGTTTCAATGATCTGATGAAATTTTGCAATTTCTTGGCTAATTTTGTGTAATTTGTAGTTATTTGGATAAATTCTTGAATTATCAAAAAACTATCTATTCTTGACTTTCAGCATGTTTTTAAAAATTACTATTTGAGGGCAGCTGTTGCGTGATTTCTGATCCCAGGTTGATCTCCATGATCCCAGGTTGTTCTCCATGATCCCAGATAACTCCTAATGATTCTATGTAGCTCCTTATTATCCCAAGTAGCCAACCTTTGATGAGAATTTGGCTTTTTTGATCAAATTTTTAATTATTCTGTCTATAACCATTTGAAAAATTTCTTAACGTCTCTAAGTAGATATATGCCATCCTTAACGCTTATTTAAATTAAGAGGATAAACCTAAGTGTCGGACGGCTTGCAACGGAAGCCAAGCAGAATATTAACGCCAGTCAAAAACTTCTTATAATAAACAAAATGTTATGCAAGTTCAATTGCATCATACAACCCACTACACCCCCCCAAACCCTTCTTAATATATAAAAAAAAAAACAACTTTATCTAAACATAAAATTCATTTGAGATTAAATGTGAATTTAATTCCCCAAAAAAAAAACTCATCTCAAACAACATACAGTAGCGCTCAAAATGATAAGGACAGCAAATTTTTTTTCACATTTTTATTAATTTTGACTCACAGGATTATCTAAATTTGCTGAAATTTGGACCAGTTATACAGTTTTAAATGTCCTTTCATACAATATATACTAATTGTACTTTAATTAAATATTTTTGAAAAAAACGGTAAAAAATCAAAATGGCTGCCGCTCAAAATGATAAGGACAGTAGATTATGTTAAGATTTTATTATATTAAGTAATATTATGGAACTTTTAAGACTTAAAACATCATGTTTGATGAATATTCTTTAAATAAATTTATAATTCACGCTTCTAGATCTAAGACTTCTTACTTAATTTTAGTGTTTAAAAATATGTGAAAATTTTGTCAATTTATGATAAATTGTCGTACAGAAACTTGTTTATTCTTTAGGTTAACTACCAAAAATTATAGATAATTTGATTATTTATCAATTTATGATCAAACATTTAGATAACTGTTAATTGATGTAATTTTTTTTCAAAAATTTTATTTTTTCTTTGCGAAATTTTTGTGAACTTAAGTCGACAATTTGAAAAAAAATTGTTAAATATTCGCAAAACAATGCTTAAATTAGTATATTTCTCTTCCATTTTAATTGTTTAATAACATATATCAAGCAATTGAACCACTTCGAAAGGATAAGTGACTAAGCAATCGTTCTCTTTCAACAACAAGACTTTTTGATATGGCAAAAATGAAAAATGTGTTGGAACCTAAAATAATATGATTTACATAAGTGAAGTTTTAACATAAAATACCTAAATTTGGCTTTTTTAATCGAATAACACTCTATTTTGTATTTTATGAGTGCTAAATTTAACATTTTTACAAAAAGATATTTCTTCATATTTTTTCGTCTTGAGAAGCTCATAGAGAACGATTGCTTAGTCACTTATCCTTTCGAAGTGGTTCAAGTGCTTGATATATGTTATTATACAATTAAAATGGAAGAGAAATAAACTAATTTAATCATTGTTTTGCGAATATTTAACAATTTTTTTTCAAATTGTCGACTTAAGTTCACAAAAATTTCGCAAAGAAAAAATAAAATTTTTGAAAAAAAATTACATCAATTAACAGTTATCTAAATGTTTGATCATAAATTGATAAATAATCAAATTATCTATAATTTTTGGTAGTTAACCTAAAGAATAAACAAGTTTCTGTACGACAATTTATCATAAATTGACAAAATTTTCACATATTTTTAAACACTAAAATTAAGTAAGAAGTCTTAGATCTAGAAGCGTGAATTATAAATTTATTTAAAGAATATTCATCAAACATAATGTTTTAAGTCTTAAAAGTTCCATAATATTACTTAATATAATAAAATCTTAACATAATCTACTGTCCTTATCATTTTGAGCGGCAGCCATTTTGATTTTTTACCGTTTTTTTCAAAAATATTTAATTAAAGTACAATTAGTATATATTGTATGAAAGGACATTTAAAACTGTATAACTGGTCCAAATTTCAGCAAATTTAGATAATCCTGTGAGTCAAAATTAATAAAAATGTGAAAAAAATTTTGCTGTCCTTATCATTTTGAGCGCTACTGTAAATGCAAAACAAAAATAGAATTAAGCATCAAAAAAATATTTTATAGCTCACAACAACGCAAATCTGAAATTTTAATATTTATCCTTTCATTTGCATAGCAATAAAGCAGGCTTCATCTCTTTATCGCATCCAATTAAGTTATGATCCCTTGCCATATATGAAGGAAAAAGCCTTTCCATTTCGTATGTCATAAAACAAAATTTTTAACGATACTTTTTTTTTATTTATTCACTTTCATTCGTCTTTCAATTTTTTTTTTTGCTCATGCTTTATTTTTAATATCAAAGAATTCCGCATATTCATAAAAAAATTGTGAAATAAAAAAGAATCTTGCTTCCATTTCCTTTCTTTGTCGAACATGAAGTGGTGCTGAACGAAAAATTGAAGGAGTGTGCTAAATATTTATATGTACATGAACAAATGATGTACATGAGGAATCATAAAAAAACAACTTCTTTCTTGCTTGTGCTTCTTTATGTCTTTAAATTTTTCATATTCAATGCTATTTTTTTCTTTCAAAATCGCTCATTATATGCTAGTTGTGTATGCTTATGTGATGTTTTCAACTCTTCAAAGGAAAGCTTTCACTGGAAAATTCGATTAACTTTGCTGGCAGATTGAGGTTGTATATCCTTACTCTGTCTTTAGACTGTAGATTTACCAGCTGCATTTGAGATTGAAATGCTTTTTTTTTATGGAAAAATATGTTGTTGGGGATTTTTCAGGGATGATGTCTAATATCATGCTGGGAGGTCGCTCTGTGCTTTTTCATATAAGACAGAAGACAAAGAAGCAAAGCATAAGATGGATTTAGAAGATAAGTTTGGTGCCAATGTCATAAAAGGAGCTTCTTACAACCTCCTCATGTCAATTGAGAGGTTCTGAGAATTCAAAAATTATTTTTTTTGACTTATTGGTCATAAGCAAGCATCAGCCAGTGTTAGGGACATCTTTAGGTACCTTCTAATGCAGGCTCTGGATCACAATTGATTTGTAAGGCTACTACAGCAAGTGAGGCTTAGTTAAGCGCCTCATAGCGAATCAGAATCCTACGAATGTTTCTCTGAAGCTCCGTCGCTGCCATTTGCATCACTTAAACAAGACTATCCTTTTAAATGCGCTGTTCCACTAGCTTTAAACACATCACATATCATTTTTTATATTTCATTCATCGTCGAACATCCTATACAATTTATAAGTACATACACACTCGATGATGTTGATGGTTTTTCGCTAGAAAAATTTGTTTTTCTTTTGCAAAGTGCTCGAACAGACATTAAGCATTTATCATGGCAATTTTCCTTTCCACACACATATTCATTCGACACTCCTTCCTATCAAACTCATCTTTCATATTTTTTCTTGCTGTTTTGCATTCGACAGAGAAAATTGCTTTAACGTAGCTTTTTTTCCATCCTCATTCTCGGTGCACCACTTTTCATAATTTTTTTTTCTGCTTTATTTCTATTTTTTTTTAGCTTTGTTTGCTCTCTCGAGTGTGATATTAAAATGATGATGATGAGTTTTATTCCGAACACTTTTTGCTTCTTTTATTGATAAAATCAATCAGAAAAATTGCATGAATGAATTTTTGATGATGTTTCACGTTGAAAAAAAAAATATATAAAGTCTCTGTTGCTCGATAGAAGAACAATAAAGAACAATTGAATTTGCTTGAATTTCCATCAATCCACCTCATTTATAATGCAATTTCTTTTATATTATGTATGCTTCTTGTGCATATATTTTGTTGTACTGAAGGTTGTCAAAATGTTGGTGAATTTTGTCAAATTGTGGGATGTCTTGAAGCCCGAATGGCACAGTTCAGATAATCGATCAGAAATCCGGCACCAAGCCGTTGTGAGTCTGACATGATGCTAGATTTAAATCGAAGCCAGCACCATGTCAGAGTCATTCCAGCTTGTTCCCAGATTTCAATTCGACTAACCGACTTGTGCTATTCGGGAAGTCTTGAAGAACTCTCTGGAATGGAAGTTCGGTGTCAAGCTTGCATGACTCTGTTTGGACTCTAGCATGATGCTAGCTTCGAAATAAATTCAGAACCATTCCTGACCTTCCATTAACTGACTTATGCTATTCGGAGATCTTAATAATTTTTGAAGGATACGTCCAATGATTCTTGATCATTTCTGCTCATCTTCAAACCTTTTGCAAGTTCAACTGTTCATCCAGCGAGACCTTACTCTAAACCACTAGACTCATCTTCATATGACTCGATACTACAGATCCCACTCTCCTTCATCGACTCTACAAAGACTTAGCAAATTTAAGTCTAATTAGTATCATAACCCTCAGTCCCTAGACAGTCATTATTTGCTGCATAATTTTCCATCCTTCATTCTAGGTTAAAAAGAAAGCAATGAGCTTAAAATCAACAAAGATTCTCTCAATTTTTATTTTTCATCTATAAAAAAGAGTAGTGAATTAAAAAAATATTTTTCTCCATCATCAGTCTATGTTTATACTTTCCTTTTCCCCCTCAAAGCACATCCATGAAAGCAGATTTTTCAATTAAAATTAAATTAAAATAGCACACAAAAAGTACCTAGCTATAAAAAAATAAGAAAAATGAAGAGGAAAGATGAGAAAATAAAAAGAAAATTGCATTTCATCATCGTCCATTCGAATCATTTTAACACTTTATTCCAGCTCTCTTTTTTGTCTCTGTCTGTCATGATAATTAAAATAGAGCAAGTTGTGGCAATTGGATAATTGAAAATGAGTGAGATTTTATGTCAATTGCATCGACATTTCCGATTCTTGATGCAACGATTGCAACATGATTGTTGCCTAAATCCCAAAAACACAATACAGCAGGATACATATTCGCATTCAATTCAAGATTAAAATTGTAATTTCTCGTTCACAGTTGCATGGTTCACATTTGATAAGCAGTTGACTGGCACATGTTCAGGCTTAAATTTCATGAATGACAATAGAACAGTATCAGCAGATGGATGGGAACATTGTGTGGCCCTTGGCACTGTTGGATTCTCACGAGGTGTACATTATTGGGAGTTTACAATAGATCGATACACGGCTGATACAGATCCAGCCTTTGGCGTGGCGCGCATCGATGTTGCACGAGATAAAATGCTTGGTAAGTAGAAAGCCTTTTCCTGTGTTGTCCATTAACTCTATTGAGATTTGCAACAAATAAAAAGTGGGAGTGAAATGATATTATTTGAATCATAAATCACAACATTTCGTGACTATACATACTGATACAGATTTTATTCATGGGATTTTGATTCAATTCCAGTTCGTGGAGAAAAAAACATTATTTTTGTGGTTGAAAATTGGCTAAATTAATTGATTTATCTCAGATTTTTGGCACAGTTTTGCAACATAAATAACCTAAAAACATGAACACAAGCTTAATGATACTTTCGTGATACTTTGTTATCAAATAAATATAATCAAATCTCCGAAGGGTTTGTTCAATAAATAGGTTTGCTATTTTATTAGGGAGAAGAGGGAGAAGGGATCCCAGGATGAGTCTTAAACTTAGATGGGATCTAGAAAGTAATTCTTTGTGATGCGGGGGTTGTTCATAAATGATGTCAAACATTTCATAAAGTCTGTCACTGAGGAATAGTTTTTTTCATTTAGAGGATTCATATTCAACAATTCAAACTTTTTGATGGACGAAATTTATGAACTGTCCCTGAAGCGAAACAATTTTTTGATCTACATTGTTGCAAAAATCCCATCCATCCCAGAGATTATTTTTTTCATTTTCATTCCATACATTTTCAGATTGATAATAACTAATATTTTTCCACACATTTCATTTCTCTCAACCAGGTAAAGATGATAAAGGTTTTGCAATGTATATTGATAGACAGCGATCATGGTTTCAACACAATTCAATTCATGAGCGTCGTGTTGAAGGAGGCATATCAACTGGCAGCACAGTGGGTGTTTTATTAGACCTGGAGCGTCACACACTGCACTTTATAGTTAATGAAATGCCACAAGGCTCGGTTGCATTTCGAGATTTATATGGCGTCTTCTATCCAGCTGTTAGTGTGAATCGAGGCGTTACATTGACTTTACACTCGGGTCTTTATGCGCCACACATGGATTATCATTGAAATACTTGAGAATAAGAATGAGCAAGCATGAGTGATGCTCTCTTTTGCTTCTTCTTGACACACAGAAGTTCTTCACACATGATTTCTTCCTTATTATTATTAGTAATATTATTATTATTATAAATGTATAATAGAAGTACTTCCTGATTAAAACTACACTTGCAAGAATGTCTGTGACTCTCAATTGCCACACTCATGAGTCACACTATTTATATTCATTCTCAAGTCTCTCTCTCCATCCTTCAAATCCCACATTTTCATCGTTGAATAACTAAACAGTATTTTCTATGCAGCTACACACATGGATGCAGAATGAAAACCACACGTTGAGGTGATTTTTGCAATTTCTCTTATTGCAAATCTTATAAACGAGACAGACGATGAGTGGTGTCATGAATGAATATAATAGAATGTCAAATATGGAAAATGATGATAAGTCGATTGCTCATTTTTCAACTAGATGAAATAAACTGAAAGACTTTGATGACGGAATTTTATGAAAGTTTGAATGGCAGTTGTTTTGATTTTCTCATTAACCAGCTAGCTACAGGAAGAAGTCAGTCGATTGGATGAAGAGATTTGGCTGAAATCTTTCCGCTTGATGAGGGAAATTGCTCAACTGACATGTTTTTGTAGTTTTCAATGAGATTGTCATTAAAGAAGTCTTATTGATAGCCAATGGGTGCCTACAACAATGTTGACCGTTATTTTTTCTAAAATTCAAACCTGTTTCGAAAAAATTCGAAAAATAATTTTTTATAAAAAATTTTGAAATTTTAAAGACCGTTAAATTTATTTATGAACAAAAATCAATTCTTCTACGCAAATTTGTTTTTTGAATTTAACAATCGACAATGAAGTCTTTGAACAATGCTCAAATGGAATTTCAACCTGACTAAGAACAATATCTGAAAATTTTGTCTTGAATGTGTTACAATCACTTACAGCAGAAATCTCACTTCCGTCGACACTTATGTTGTTTGATTTTAAAAATAACAACCATTTATCTTTGTTTAATGAGTGCTTAGGTACTTTAAAAAGATTTGTAATTGTTTTATTTTTGTTGTAGCTTGCAATTTTGCAGGTTTTACCCATAATTAATGAAAATTAATCAAAATTTTACTGATGTAAACAAATATAATTTTTTGATGAAATATTTTTAACGGAATTTAATTTTTTGAAAAAAATTCAAATTCGAATTTTCGATTTCGAAGAATAAGGACCATTTTCGAAGAATAAGAACCATCGGCACCCATTGGATTGATAGTTTTAGCTTATTAGCTGGGCTTTGTAGAAGAGTAACAGTGAGAGATTAAGGCAGCAGCCTTGAATGTCTCAGCTTAAATAATCAAAAATCAGAAATCGATCATGAAATTAGCTTTAAAGATCGATTTCTAGGTCTTCCTAAAGGATCCTACCCCAAACAAGGCTCAGGAACTCATCAGATGAGTGCTTCACTTTCTGATGAGCCTTTGACCCTTAAATCTAGGTCCAAAAGATTGGCTACAACATTGACTTACCACATTCACATGACAAAATCAAAGCAATTGCCGAAATAGAAGATAAATGACTGTTTAAAATAGCTAAAATTATGCTAATATAGGACTAGTAAAACTAAGTCTAAGACTAACCAATTTGAAATAATAACAAACATGTAGATAACTTACGAGATGTAATTTTAAATTTTGTATATAATTTAACTTGAGGAGTCACTATGGGGCAAAATGAAAAAAAAAGGGACTTTCACTTTGAAAAATGGACTTTTCCGATTTACACTTTTTGGGTGATTTTTTCTTGTAGAGGACATAAAAGTAGATAGAAATGCCAAATTTCAGGTCATTTGGTGCTGATTTCGCGATTCTAGAGCTGTTTGAAGTTGAAAACTAGTGAAAATTCTGGTTTTTTCATACCATGTTTGAACCGGGAAATATCTTAACTGGTTTAAGATATTGCAAAACGGTTTTCAGTTCCTATTAGTAGTATATAAGAGCTTTATTTTGACATATAACAAAGTTTAGGTTCTGAATGTTTTCGTGCCATTATGGTAGAACATATGTGAAAATTTCAGGAAAATTATCTTCAAACAAGCCGCAACTATCATAAATGAAGAGTTTCCAGGCAAGTAAAAACGCAGTTTTGTAGCCCCATATATCTAGTTTTCAAAACTGTATAAACTTTGAAAAAGTAAGCTAACGTAATTGAGTTATGTTGATTTTAGTAGGTCGTTGAGTATTTGGCCAAAAACTAATAATTCTTTTGAAAATACGAAAACATAGTTTTAAAAATAGTTTTTTGGTGTTTTCTTATGAAAAATAACAATTTAAATGATTTTGTGAAGAAAATTTTTCAAAAACTTCAAAATCTTTCGAGATATAGGGGGTATGTGCTCTCCATCGATTTGGCCATTTGTCACCCTACTTAAACCACTATAACTTTTTTTTGAAAAAATATTTTTTAATTCTGTTTTCGGATTATTGTAGCCTAATGTAATACCTATCCAACGATATATAATACTTGCTAGTTAACTTAGTCCTGGTTATTTATAGGGCTGTTGATTGTGACATACGCAGTTTTTGAAAAATTCCCAAAAATTGCATTTTCAAAAATACCACTTTTAAGCAATCTCGAGTATTTTTTTAGAACTTTTTTATGTTTATTTATGACATTTATGAGATTATAAAGCCAAAAAATTAAATTTAGAAACTTTTTACTTCCCTAGTTAACAACTTTGTAAAGTACCCTTGGTAGTCACTATCAGGTGTGAAAATCTCAGTTTTGAAACTATTTTATATATATACTCGTGAAATTCTCTCTACACATCATATCAGTTTTGAACTTCATTGAACAAGTCACTTTCAAAAATGAACCAAAATTCAACACTTACGAAGAAAACACTCTGTGAAATTCTTCGCGACAAAACGTTAAATCTTGCAACACAGCACACGTACTGTTTGGCAGTAATAGAAGAAATTCATGGGAGAGAATTAGCGGAATCACAGAAACCAAGTTTAATTAATAAATTAAACAAGCTGAAGTCAAAGTCAAAAATGTTTTGTAATCAGTCAAATTGGAATAATGCATTAAGAGATCATGCAGATTTCTATGAAGAGGAATTTGAAGTTGACTCACGATACTTCAGCGAATCTAGTGGAGGGATTCTTTTTGAGGAAGAATCTATATATGAAGCAGAAAATGTTACTGACACAGATGAAGATATGGATGAGATTGAATACATCGTCCATGACATAGAGCCTTCATCCAGCAAGGGCATCAAGAGGAAATCATTTGAACAACTAACAAGCGATAAGCATCGACGTAGAAGAGTGGACGAATTAGATATCAGTTTAAAAGAAGCAAAAGGATCATTGTTATCAGTTCTTCACTTGGCACTTCGCCTTTCTAAAGAAGAAGGAAAAGTAGAAGGAGCTAAAATGTTAAAAGAATTTATTAAGGCGTGCCAAAAAGGAGAGGATCTTCCAGAAAAAACTACATCAAAACCTAAACAACTAGATATACATGTAGCTCTAGGTGTAAAAGCCTTTAACAATTTATCTCGAAATCAGTACAACAATATTCGACAAGTCCTGAAACTGGAATGCGAAAACGTTTTACCGACAGCTAAAAAATTGTTGAGGTTAGAGAAACAATGCTATCCTGATGACATAACGGTCACCGATACAAGAGCCGTTATTCCACTAAAAAATTTGACACAACTCACCACAAAAAGAGTTATTGAAGCACACAATTCAGAAATATACGACAAAATCAAAATATTACCTTCAGAATCAACTCCAAAAGTTATTCATGCAGAAATGATCGTCACATGGGGGATGGACGGAACAACAGGACAGTCACAGTATAACCAAGGAAAAACAAATTCAAGAAATCAAGAACGAGATAGAACACAACCGAATCAAACGACTAATAATGAAATTATAGAAGACAAATCACTATTGACAGTTAGTATGAGTGTTCAGCAACTACGACATGAAGACGAAAACGGAAATTATATCTGCTTATGGGACAACGAAAACAGTCAATCTGTATACTCAGTACGACCAATACAACTTGAACATGCCAAAGAAACCAGAGTAAATGTTAGAAGGATATATGAAGATATAAAAAATCAAATATCAAAACTTGAACCACAGAGATTCATATGTGAAGACATGCTTTTGGAAATTACGTACAAATTCTACCCCACAATGTTAGATGGAAAAGTTTACACAGACCTTACAGAAACATCAGGATATTGCAGATGTCAGCTTTGTAGATCTGGACCAAACGAGATGAGTGACATAAATAATCTTGATAATGGAAGATTCGAAAAAACACACAGAAAATTTGTTAAAGAACACTTGTATTTCAACACTCAGCCACTTCATACATCAATGAACGTACTCACGACTCTATATGATTTGTCATATAAACAATATGTTCAAAAACACTGGCTGGAGATAACTGAAGAGGAACAGATTGTTTTAGATGTTGAAAAGGCTAGAATAAAGCAAGCAATGTGGGATGCATTTAATGTTCGTGTACTCGAACCAAGACAAGGGGGAGCTGGATCATCAGATACAGGAAACGTTGCAAGAAAAGTTCTTGAAAATCCAGAGCTTCTAGCTAAAACTCTATATCTTAATGAAGAAATAATTAAACGTATATGCTATGTGCTAAACCAAATTCGAAGTTTAGAACCAGTTGATGATCTAGATGAATTTGATAGGTACTGTAAAGAAACATACAGAATGTTTTTGACAACATATAGTTGGTTCAAAATACCAGTAACACTTCACAGAGCACTTGCTCATGCAAAACACTACATGGAAGCCTTACCATTACCTCTAGGAAGAATGAGTGAAGAAGCCGGGGAGTCACAAAACAAATATCTCAGACAAGATAGAGAACTACGTGCCAGAAAAACTTCAAGAATACACAGTTTTACGGATGTTATACATAGAAGACTCTACAGTTCTGATCCAGTAATAATAAAAAAATAT